GGGAGCTGACTTGCACAAGGTGTTGCACAGAGCAAGTGTTTCAGGCACTGGAGGCTCCAAAGCCACACCTCGCGTGGGGAGCTCCTGCCTTTGCTGCTGCTCCTGCTGCTGCTGATGGTGGTTTTTGGTTGCCTGGAGCCCCTGCCCTGCCTGGTGAGGAAACACAGAGATATTTCCAGCTCTTCAGAAGGGAAAGGAGTGGGGACATTGATTCTGAGGGGCTCTGAGGCAGCAGTGGAGGCAAATGCTCCCATTTGGCTGAGCAAGGCACATCCAGCATTAGCACATCTCCCGCTGCTCTTGTTATTTCTTCCTGACCACAATTTGTTAAACAGCTTCCCAGACAGGCAGAGCACAGATTCCTGCCCTGTGGAGCCAGGAAGGAGAGGGATTATCTGACTGTTCAGCATTAACAAGGCTCCCAGGTCACCTGCCTGTGTTTTTATACCTGGAAGCAGGAAATTGCAGCCCTGAAGTTCCAAATGCTAAGGATGGCAGTGGGATGGAGCCTGTCCAGGCAGCTCCAGGACCTTCCCGGACATGGACAGAGTGCTGCAGCAGGACAATAATGAACCAAAATTCCTGGTTTCCCTTCCTGACTCGCCCTCTGCCTCACTGTGAGCATGGAGCAGTCATTTGTCTCCATCCACCCCAGGGCTCTGACTCACTCGTGCTGAGCCAACAGCAGTGGGAATGTGGGATGCCAGCACTCCCACCTCATCCTCCCTGCCCTGCTGTTGCTGCCCCTCTGCCCACAGCAGCCAAAGCAATAAATAAACACACGTGGCCCTGAACCACAGTGGCTGCAATTGGTATCTCTTAAAAAAATCCCTTGTCAGCAGCATTTTGGGTGGAAATCTGCATCCAAGGTGCCACACAACAAAGCAGGCAGGACCAGCCTCGAGTTAAGCAACAAACTCACCTGCCAGAGCCCCCTCTTCCCAGTTTTTGGTGGCAGCAGCAGCAGAATTGCCTGCCCAGCATGGCTTTTGGGCACATAGCTGTAAAACCTGGGCAGCCTGGCCCTGGTTCAGCCCCTGCTCCACCCCTCAACTTGGACCAGGCTTGGGACACCCTGGGACAGTGGAAGGTGTCCCTGCCTGTGGCAGGGGGTGGCACTGGATGGGCTTTAAGGTCCCTCCCAACCAAAACCATCTGGAATTCTGTGGTTCCCCTGCCTGCTCTCAGCTGTCCCAGTGAGAACCTCGGTCCCCAGGGATGACAGAGAGACAAAGGAGCTGGGATGAGGCTGTCCAGGTGAAACCCAGTCCTGTGTCACAAAGCCTGGGCCTTGCAAGAGGGCATCAGTGCCAGGGAGCAGGAAGGGATGAGCTGAGGGGACAGGACAGTCCCTGAGCAATGCCACATGTCACTGACCTTCACAGAGATGAGCAGAGGTGTCTCATGTGAGGAACCAGGTGGGGAGGAGGCAGCAGGGCTCAGCAAAGAGGTGAGGACTCCAGGGAAGCTTTGAGAGAAAGAAGTTTCAAACACAGGGAGGATCAGAATCACAGAGTCCTTAAGGCTGGAAAAACCTTTAAGACGATCAAGTCCAACCATCAGCCCAGCATTGCCACTGAGCTCATCAGTGACCCATATCCCCAAGTGCCACATCCATGCTGCTTTTGAGCACCACCAAGGATGGTGACTCCACCACTGCCCTGGGCACCCCATTCCAATGCTTTATAATCTTTCTGTGAAAAAAAAAAGCCTCTAATTTCCAATCTAAACCTCCCCTGTAGAAACTTGAGGGTCTTTCCTCTTGTCCTGTTGATTAGGAGCAGAGCCCAACCCTCACTGGCTGTCCCCTCCTGGCAGGGAGTTGTGTAGAGCCACAAGGGCCCCCTGAGCCTCCTTTTCTCCAGGCTGAGCCCCTTTCCCAGCTCTCTCAGCCCCTCTTGGTGCTCCAGACCCTTCCCAGCTCCATTCCTTTCTCTGGATACACTCCAGCCCCTCAAGGTCCTTGTCATGAGGAGCCCAAACCTGCCCCCAGGATTTAAGGTGGGGCCTCAGCAGTGCCAGCACTGGGGGGTCTCTGTGTTCCTCTCACAAAGCCCAAAAGTTTCACCCTGTGCTCCCTGGGCTCCCTCCTGTCCCCAGCCCAGCCCCGTGTCAGCATCCCCAGCATCCCAGACCCTGCTGACCACAGGCAGGAGGATGTAAACATTAGCAGGAGTTTGGAGTGAGGACTCAGCAGGAAACCAAGCTCTCTTTATGACCTAGTTATTGATGAATCAGGGGAGATGCAGACCCGTGACACCCTCCCCAGTTATTTACCCACTTCGTGGCACAGGATGTATCAGGGATGCTTGGACACTTCGCTCACCTCAAGGATGCTGGAGGTTTTGGGATGGAAAAACTCATTCTTTTCAAAGTTGTTCACACAGACCAGGCATCACCTGTGTGGGTTCTTCTTCTCAAAGCCATCTCTGGCACCTTCCCTGCCTCTCTTCCCAGTGGGATGGACAAGTCACCACTTGTTTCTCACTGTGGAACTGGGGAGCTCCTTCCAGCCTGGGAGCTCCTGCTTGCAGAGTCCACTGAGAGCTCCAAGTGAATAAAAAGCAAATCCATCTCACACTCCCTCAGCATCCAGGGCTGGGAGCAGCTCTCTGGGATCCCCTCAGATCCTCTGCTCCAAGTCTGTCCTAGAAGGACACCAAGCCTGGGGTAACGGAGGCTCCACCGTGGTGCAACATCAGCCGCCGCTGCTGTGGTTAATTACCCTCATCTCCAAATCCAGGCGGATTTGTGAGGCTTTTGTAAGCCCTGGCACAGCCCAGCTCTCACAGAGATGCTCCTTTTCATAGGAGCAGCAAAATAAATGGCTGAGCTTCCCAAAGAGCTTCTCCCCACAGCAAAGGCTTGATCCCTACTCTTCAGGAAGGACAGGGACAGGGACAGGGACAGGGACAGGGACAGGGACAGGGACAGGGACACAAAGACCTTAGAGCTTGGTCTCACCCTGCCTGTGCTGTCTCCACCAGGAAGCAGTGGCCAAATAATAAGTTTCATGTTTAAGAAAACAACATATTTTTCTCAACTCTACACGGAGGGAAAAAAATGTTGTTTTGGGGGGAATAGTTTAATTGCTGCCAAATTTCTTGAACGCCTGAATGAGGTCCAGGAGGAAAATATTTGCAAAGCAGTCAACCAAAGGTGTCCTGTTCAGATAGTTCTTTAACTAAATAACAAAATAAACCAGGTAGGAGAAGTGAGATTTGATAAGATTCTTTTTGATAATAAAACAGCGTTTGGGGAAAAAGTTGAGAAGTGGCTTGAATTTAAATCCTGAAAGAGGCAGCATCACCTTGCTCCAGACATTTTTGGTGAAAATTCTTGTCTTGGGTTTTCTCCATGTGCAGGGGAGTTTGTGTGGATGTTCCCTCCCCTGGGAGAAGCAGGGCCAGGACCAGGTGGCTGCGCCTGCGCAGGGAACCTGCCCGGGGGCACACAGATGATTTCAGGCTGCACTTCCAGCCCTCTCTTCCAACCCTTCCAGCTCACACTTCCCTGCCCTGCCTCCTTGCCCCTGCCCATCTGGGGGCACGGATATAAACCCCTCCAGCCAATATGTTTCCTGTGGGGGCCTGGCTTTGCCTGGAGGGTGCACATGGTTCCTGTCCCATCCCAACTCTTTCCCTAGGGACGGGGAGAGGGGATTTTCTGGCTGCTGCTGGCGGTGAGCTCACACCGTGGGCACTCCTTCGGAGCTAGAGCGGCAGGGCAAGTTGCTGCTCCGGCTTTGCTGGAAACCTTGGAGCTCCCAGAGCGTGTGGAAGCAGTGCTGGTCCATCCAGCCATCACAGGTAAGCCAGGCTGGGAGGAGACACCAGCAGCCAGTGCTGGGCACTCCATCACTGCTTCCATTTTCCTGCTCCTTCTTCTTCTTCTGTCTCTCCATCATCTGTCTCTCTTCACCATCTCTCAACTGACATCTCTTGAGCCATGAGGTGGGATTTGCCATCCTGGGTCTGACTTTATGCACCTTGCAAGTGATGAGGGATGAGGGGAGAGTCTCTGTGGTGTGAAGGAGCACATGGAAACCCAGGAGCGTGAAGAGTCAGCCCTCAAACCCTTCTGCCTGCCACCTATTTGCTGTGCTCCCCGCTGCTCTGGGAAGCAGCCAGCCTGGATTAAGGAGAGGCCATCATTAACAGCAGAGGTTCACCCTCCAGTCGGTCTGTCTGGTCGGAGCAGGAGCTGCAGGAGAGCTCGTTTGTGTTGTGTTACACTCCTGTGTTTTCTCCCTTTGAACTGCTTGGGAAGGGTGGCAGAGGAAGCTGTGGGAGCCCCACCCTGCTGCACACTCAGGGGACTGCTGGACACGGCGGTGGCTCAGCTCATCCAGCTGCAAACAGGGAATTTCTCCTCCAGAACATCATCAACTGATGAGTGGGTTCAAGACAAACTTCCCTTCCCTGCATTAGATCTGAAAAGATTTTCAAAGAGAAGCAAAGAAAGCTGTTTGTCCTCAGTGCCTCGGGAGCTCAGAGATGCCACTGAGGCAGTGTCACCTCGGTACCTGCCTGGTGTCACCCCAAACCTGCTCACTCTGCAGGGCTGGAGCAGCACGAGTGGCTGGGTTAGTCCCACACCTCATCCAGGGACTGAACTGCTCATCTCCAGGGAATTTCTGCCTCTGTTTTGTACCAAAAATCCAGCTACCATGGGTTTGGTGGTGCTTCCAGATGCCTCTAAGGTTGGCACCTGTCTTCAAAAGCAGCTCTAAAGTCTCAAGGATCTGAAAAAAAATATGGCAAATAGAAAACTTCTGATCAAAATAAGATCAGAACTGCTTCTTCAAATTAATCTAAAAGAATGCTGAGAAACAATGAGGACAGGAAAGTTTTTACCATGGGGAAAAAAAGTAGGCAGAAGATTAGACATTCTTTTTATTTGGAGTCCCATTTGTAAGTTGGGTCTGGCAGTGGAGAACCTGCAGGAGGGTGTCAAACTCCGATCCCTTTCACTGGCAAACCAGGGTGGAGATTGCCTGGGAGTGCACTCCAAGTGAAATCCTGCTCAGAGGGAAGAGGCACCTCCCAGTGCTCCCAGTGCCCCAGGACTCTGGGAATGCCCAGGGTCTGTGCTGGTGCTCCAGGGCTGAGCTCCCAGGAGCCGAGTTCCAGCCCTCAGGAAGATGCTGAGGAACGACGGTGGAGAACAGAACCAATGAGCACCAGCCTCTGTAGGGTTGTCCACTCCCCAGAGGTAGCTCACAGAGCACAGGGAAGTCCTCCTGGCAGGAAGGTCTGAGTCATAAAGAAAGTGAGAAGGGAGAAGACGAGTTGACAAGGACTGGGCTGAAATGGGGAATCTTCGTGTGGCACCTGATGAGAGATGTTAATGCCATGGATTGGTGCCCATCCTCAGAGTCCAAGAGCATTTTCTGGGGCAATTTGCAAGTCCTGCATGGAAGGGAGAGAGGAACTGTTGTGCAGTAGGATGTGTGTTGGGAAGAGGATGAGTCCTTGGTAGCCGGGTAAGGCGCAGTGCTGGGTGCCCAGGCATGAGGAGCAGGGTCCCCTTTGGGTGTGCAGCCCTCTCCTCCTCTGTGCCCACCACTAACCTGCTCCTCTCCTTTTCCCAAGGTGCCTGACGATGCCGAGCATATTTTCCTACCAGAGTGCCGAGGTGGATTGGTGTGAGAGCAACTTCGAGCGCTCGGCGGTGATTGCTGAGTACTACAACACCGTGAGTGCCTGAGGGAGGCTGGGGCTGGCTCCAGGCACCCAGGAGCTGCTTTTGGGATCCAGACAGGACGGGACATCCCTGTTTTCTTTCCTTCTCCTCCTTTGAACTTCCTGGTGCTGGAGGGTGCTGGTATGGGGAGCCTTTTCTGAGCTTCAGGTAAATCACGGGACTTTGGTTGCTTGCGACGGTCGCTCCCCAAAACATGCTGGGGTCAGGGGTGCTTCTGGTGTGTGTGTGTGGGGTTGATTCCCAGTGAGAGAACTCTGGCAGAGCTCCTTCACAGCCCAGATCTGTGAGATCCTGTTATACCAGTCCTGCAGCTCTGCTGCCAACCGGGGTAAGTCCTACACAGGGCTCATATATTCCAGCTAAATGTACAGGAGTGGCAAAACGAGAGGCAGCACTTCCATGAACCGTGTCAGGCATGTTGGGAATACGGAACTCAGAGCAGAGGGAAGCTGCTGCAGGAGTTTCACCTCCTGTGATCCTTTATCTCCCATCCAGTGCCAGTGCCTTGGCTGCAGCATGGCTGGAGCATCCATATCTGCCTGCAGAGGGCTGGGAGATAAGCGGCCTCTCCGAGCATGTCCTGCTCCCTCAGAGCAATTAAAGGCTCCCAGGGGTGTGAGGCATGTGGATTTACAGCCTTCCACAGGCCTTGTTTACAACTTTTGGCAATTACTGTCTAACACTAGAAGATCTTGTTCTCATGGAAATGGCTCTTCCTCTTTTTTTAAAGCATTTCCTGTTTTTAATAAATTACCTGTAATAATGATAATTCCCCGGCTCCTGCAGGCTCTAATCGCCCAGCCGGGGTCTCAGAGGAGGGGGCTGTGTGTAGTCACTGCTCTTTGAGGCACTCAACAAAGAAAGCTCTTCCAGTCCAGACCAAATCCTGCTTCCCTGTGGCACCCAGCTGGGTGTTTTGTGCTGTTTGCTGTTTACTGCTGCGTGGGCTCAGAGGTGCAGAGCAGGGCATAACGAGCAAGGAGATACAGAAATCACTCAATACTCACATGAGCATCTCGGATCTCAGGGCAAGAGCAACCTGCTTGAGTGGAGCACATGGCAAGGGATGGAAGGAGATGATCTTTAAGGTCCCTTACAACCCAAACCATTCTAAATGCAGCTGGAAGTGCCCAAAACCTCAGTGTCTGGGAGAGTCACTGCTAACACTGGAGAGGGGCTGATTTCCACCCAGAGCACAAAGCCTGAAAGGTTTGGTTTTGGTCTGGATTCCTTTCAGGAGATGAATTTGCCTCATGTCCTGGTTTGATACATAAGGCAGCATGTTTTAAACACTTCTTTGGAGCTGAGATTCCGTTTACAGCCAGACTGACAAAGTGGCTCAGAATCCTTATCACACCAACAACTATCTCAGGAGCTCTTCAAAAGCACTTCAGAGTCTGACTCCTCTGCTGGACACCAGCTGGTATGGCCAGATGCATGACTAATTCTTGTAGGCCCTCTAATTCCCATAAAACATTAACTCTCAGCTGCCTGGGTCGTTTTGTGGCACAGGTTTCTAAACTATGTGACTACTCCTGAAGATCTCACCCAGGTGCCCAGTCCTGAAGAGAGGTCCCTGCTAGCCACAGGCATCCCCCAGGTTTCCATACCACACCACAATTCAAATGGAATGAATTGTCATTGTGTGGGACTCAGGCACAGTGAGGAAAACTCCTCCAATGCATGTTTCAGTGCAGATAAAAACAAACGTGATACTGAGGGACAGAGGGGTATGGACAAGCAAATCCTGCAGGATTTTTTTCCCCAGCAGTTGGACTTGCCCTTGTTCTCCTCTATATGACTATGGGCACCTCTTCCTCAGCAGAGAAAGAGCTTTTTATGGTTCCTTTATTGATGCCCTTTTTGCTAGGCTCAGGAGATCAGCAGAGTGCCTGTGCAGAAAGGGAGGGAAACAATTCTGTCTTAGGATGTGATTCCTGAGCAGCAGGAATCTAACCCTGCCGTGTCAGCTGCCCGTCTTAGGCTGGCTGGTGACCTCCTGTCCAGACAAGGGGTGGCAGAGGAGCAAACCCTCCTAAAATCTGCCATTATCTGAGCATCTGACAACAGCCCCAAGGCTGTGCCATGCTCAGGGCCAGACCTTGTCAGCAAAAGTGGGCAGGAACATCACTGACACGGGCATCACCCCTTCCTCGGCATCACCCCTTCCTCAGCAGCACTGCCTGGGTCCCTCCTTCAACCAGCACAGCCTGGCTGGCACTGTCTGGGTCCCTCCTTCAACCAGCACAGCCTGGCTGGCACTGTCTGGGTCCCTCCTTCAATCAGCACAGCCTGGCTGGCTCTGCCTGGCTCTCACCTCCTGCAGCAGCACAGGGACCCCTCTTCCTGCTCTGGGATCTCCCCCAGGATCGGGCTCCCTGTGATGTTTCCTAAAGAGGGGATTGTAGAAATCTGACCAGGTTTAGATGTGCAGCTATCCCTGCTGGCTGCATCCTACAGATCCAGCTGGGGCTCAGGGCACTGTCCCAGGTGTGATCCTCACAGCCTGCATCTTCTCTTCCTCTCCCCATTCATTTGTTCCCTAAATTCGGGTTGCCGCCTCTCTGCTGCAAGCATTACTGCCCTGAATTAATTATACCAATATTTACCTCAGTGTCAATTTTCCGGAGTTTTAGGCTAGCTGGGAACCCAGCCAGCTCCTACCCAAGCCTTCTGGATCACTAAATCAGCAGGGTTTCCTCACAGAGCATCTTCTGCAGTGCCTTCCTCCCAGCCCTGCCCGGGGCTGGAGCGGAGCCGTTCTGTGCCAGCAGCAGCAGCAAATGTGCTGCTGGGGATTGCTCTGTGCCAGCTACACTCTCTCAGGCCTGCTTGCCTTGGATGCTTTTTATTAGAAATAAGCACCAGGGGTATGAGAAGAGAATGTAAACAGTACCTTTAAGTACCTAATAATGCATGGTGGCTCATGGCTGGATGCAGTTCAGCAACAAAGCTCTATTTATAGTGACTCAGTGACCCAGAAATTTATTGTCTTCTGGCTGCTTGGGGGAGAGCAGAATTGTGCTCCAGGAGGGTCATCAGTCAGGGACTTGTCTTTCTACCCTCGTTTCTTTGCTGAAATGACTGATCCAGGATTCTGGTAATGAAACCCACGTCCTCAGCAGTGTCTCAGCTGCTCACACCCAGAGCTCCTGGATGCTCCATGGAGTGGTGAAATAAAGGGTGCAGATCTACCAGAGAAGGGCTCAGTGGCAGTGGCAAGGCTGTGTGGGGTGTCCTGGCCCCCACATTCTCACTAATCCCATGGTTCTCTTGCCTGCCCAGAAAGCTGTGCTCAGGAGCATGGCCCAGGATGCTGCAGACACTCCCCAAACTGCTGCTTCCCGCCCCAAAGCACCGGCACTGTGATGTCAGCACCTGCAGCCTCGTCCCCTGCAACACAAGCCTGGCTTTAGGAACTTGCTGCACAGGTCTGGAGAGCCTCAGAGGAGTTCACCCCTGTCTCTGGCCCTGTGGGCTCCTCTGTCAGCTAAAACTGGTTCCCTGTGAGTGAGAATGAACTCCCTGCCACGAGCCCTGCAGGAATCTCCTTCCACTGCAGAAAGTGCCTGGCTGGAGTGAGGAGCAGCCTCTGCTACCACTGCACTGCTGCTGTGCTTAAACCAGCACCTCCTGCCTCAATCCAGATCAGAGGCTGATCTCACCTGTCACAGGTGAAGGTTCTGTCCCTCTGTCTCAGGCTGGGGTTGCAGAAGTTGGGCTCTTCCCAATGATCCTAGAGCCAGGATTAGAGCCATGCTGCTGATCCCAGCCTCACTTCTCTCCTAGGAAAAGAAGCAAATAGTTTGGCTCAGCTGAGGCACCTGGAGCCTCACACTCACACTTCCTGGGGAGTGGGACAGGCTGGGAGCTCAGGCAGGGGCACTCTCACATGTCCTATCACACCTTGGCTCTATCACCACTCGCTTATCTCCCCGACAGGGCAGAGGGAGCTGGTGCCTCCTGGCCTGTGTGACCAGAGAGGCTGAAATAGAAGCTGTGCTAGGGGGTCCCAGCCTGAGCAGAAACTCCAGAAAAAATTCTGATTGTTGTCCTGGGAGCAAAACCCTCCTAAGCACATCTGACACAGAGCTTGCCACATCCTAGAGGGAAGACAGGGAAGACAGAAAGTCAGCATTTACAAATCAGGGCTTGAAACCGACAAGGGATGAAAAGTCCGTGTCCCCCACGGGGGTGGGAGCTGTCCCCTAAACTTGGCTGCTCTGCAAGGAATCCCGTTTATCTTCCTGACCCTATTGGCACGGTTCCCCTGGTTATCCCTCCCCTCTGCTATCTGATGTTGCACATCTCGTCCCGAATTAATGAAGTGATAACACAGCTATCATGTAATTAATGGCACTGTTGCAATGCACGGTGCTCATGGATCCAGAGCTCTTCTCTGCCGCGTTTCCTCACTGATGTGCGTGCTGGCACTTGCACTCTCCTGCCTTTTCCCCAAGCGTTTTCCCTCTCCTTGCTATCCCTGCTTGCCTTCCAAAGGCCTCCTTAACCATTCAGGGGAAAAGAAATGTCTGAAGCATGGTTGTTGCCTGAACACATGGTTTGATTTCTCAGTCGTTTCTGAACAATTTGACTTCGAGGGTTCAAGTGGGAGCAGCACTTCTCTTTTCATGGGAAAAATGGGAATTGGCCTGGATTTGGTTCTAAGCACCTATGGAAAACTGATACATTCGGCCTGAGAACTGCTGCTAATGGAAGCATCAACTTGTCTCATGGAAGCCTTAGTGAAAAAATCAAGATGAATCTCCGGTGTTTAAGGGAATAGAGAAATCACATTAGGCATGAATTATGTTTCCCTCTGGAATAGAAGAGGGTGTGTTCCAGAGAAATGACAACATCCCAGTGATTTGTAGCCCTGTTACCATAAACTGGGATCCCAGGGGACACCACAAGCCTAGCACTGATTTTGCAGTTTACCTGGTGCTGCTGAGGTGGGGGAGACTCCAGCTGTGGAGGCCAAATTCCAGGCGTGGGGTCTGGGCCAGCGTGGAGCTGGAAGATGAAAGGAGAAGGATTGTCAGGCTGAGATAAAAGTCACCCTGGTGCTTTGCCAAATGGCACTTCAGCAGATGGCTCCAGAGCCCCAAAGAGCTGTCTGGCAGGTAAATGCAGCACCACAATCCCAGCCTTTCATGAGCAAGAACCATTTTCCCTGGGGAGGCCGTGCTGCCCAGTGACATCCCTTCCCTGAGCTTGCAAAGTCAGGTGAAAAAGGCAGGGTAGGAACCGAGAGAGGGTAATTAAATTAGTTCAGATTTCCCTCCCCTGTGCTGCAGGGTGGAGCAGGCCTGTCCCAGCAGACAGGGCCAGGCTTGGAGCACTCGCTGCTCCTCCCCAGCTCCCACATTTTGCCCATCAGCATCTCCTCTCTCCAAAGCACTGGCACCTTCAGCCAGTCCAGCAAGAGGCTGAGCCCCAGCACCATCCCCAGCTCCCCAGCTCCCTCCCCTGCTCCCCAGTACCATCCCCAGCTCCCCAGCACCATCCCCAGCACCATCCCCTGCTCCCCAGCACCATCCCCTGCTCCCCAGACTAACCAAAGTCCATCAAAGGAATTTTGCAGAGCTGGAAACCAGAGCAGAATCATTCCTCTGTGTTCATCTGCCAGATGTGTTTAGAGGAGGTTTATGACCTCATGTAATTACCAGTGTCCAGAACACCTCCTCTCCCCAGGCCAGGTGGCTTCACACCTGGCACCACAGGATGTCACCTCAGTCCTGCCTGTTCCCACCTACCGATGTTCTGCTCATCCTGCTGCTCTCCACCACACCCATTCCCAGCTCAGACGTTTTGCTGACCGTGGCTTGCTGTGCTGGCCCAACTCCTCACACCCTTCCAAGCCCTCACAGGGGAACCACTGCTGGCTGGAAGGGTCAGGAGCAATCCAGGCAGCTCCTGGAGGGTCTGGCTTGACATGAGAGGGAGATGGCTGCAAACAGGAGTTGCTTGGAGACACCAGGCAGCTGAAGATAAACCAGCATCACCCAAAAGGGACACAGCAGCTCACCCTGGGCTTGCTGGCCCCAGAGGGAGGGCAGAGGTGTCTGCAGCCACTGCTGCCACAGCAAGAGCTGCCCTTCCAGTTCCAGCCTGGCTTCTGGAGAAACACCTCTGCCCTCTCCCTGTGCCAAGAGCAACCCCTGCTTCTGCACGAGGCTCTCTGCTGGAGGTCAGGATCCTCCTCACACACGGAGATACTGAGGCACGTGGTGGGATGGGGCTTGCCCAGGAGCTGAGTGTGCCTCTTGTTTTTCAGATCAGCAATGTCAGCTTCTTCATGCTGTCTCCTGCGCTGCTGTACCTGAACCGGCAGTACTGCCAGAAGAAGGCTGTGCCCCTCTACTTTGTCTCAGGACTGCTCATCCTCGTAGGTGGGTGCCAGGGTTGTGGGAAGACCAGACAGGTTGCCAGACTGCCAAACATGAGATTTTTGGAGGGTCTCATTAGCCAGAAAACTCGGCTGTGTAAGCAAGCAGCCAGGTGTGTTTGAAGCCTGCAGCCCATGGTTCCTGCCAGCTGTGGATATGCAGCTTCCAGCCCTGTAGTTCCCCTTGGTGTGACTGGTTTGACTCAGTCCAGCCCTCTTGAACACCAAAATCCATGCCCTGCTCTTCAGGAATGGTGTATCTTCAGGAACAGCCCCCAAGAACCTCCCAGGGCTTGTGGGAGGGTGGAGCTTTGTCATCTCAAGATGCCCTTGCTCCTTGCAGGTGTCTTCTCCATGTACTTCCACATGACCCTGAGCTACGTGGGACAGCTCTTGGATGAGCTCTCCATCCTCTGGACGCTGGCTGTGGCTTACTCCTTCTGGTACCCACAGGCTTACTTCCCCAAGTGCATCAAGACCAGGTATGACGCAGAGGGACACGGGGCAGGCTCTGAGGGGAGGGATGGGACACTGACACTGAGGTGTAGTGACCCATAGATCCCCCAGTTCCCCTGCAAGGGGTCAGCTCTGAGGTCACTGAAGGGCTTTAGGACCAGGCCCTCCATCTTTTGGCACTGACAGAGGAAAAGTCAAAACCCTCCTGTGCTGGGCTCCTCTCAGCTGGAGCTGTTTGTGTTTGTGTTGCTGCAGAGGAAACTTTGCATGGAGAATTTCAAAATTAGTTAGGAAATGAAACGTTCCTGAACATTAACATTCAATTACTCACACTGTCAATCTATTCCAGCATCCTCTGTCATCCACAGAGAGCTTTCCCTCAAGGCTGAGGGGGGGTTCCCATAGGACCAGATGGTTACAGCCCTCATTTTGAGGAGGGCTGGCTGGGCTGGAGGAGCCCAGCGGAAAGGATGGGGCCACTGGGAGGGCATGAACCAGCAGAAATGGGAACCCAGCAGGGTTTTACTCAGAGGATGTCTCCTCCTGGCTGAGCCCTCTGAGCCAGCCCAGTTCCTTGCAAAGACCTGCTCCAAGTCTGCTCTTCCCATGCCGAACAGGAGGTCACCAGGAGTTCACCGTGGAGACGCGGCTGGGGGAGAGGGAAGGGACTTGGGAGGGGATTTGCATGTGAAAGACCCCTCTGAGCCCTATTGTTGCTCAGGGAGCCCAAATGGGTGTTTGCACAGCCCTGCCTGGCAGCCCTTCCCTGTGCAGAGCTCCCTGCCTTTGCCTCATCCCTGCAGCACCATGAAAGTGCAGGAGTTGCCTCCTGGGCTGTCCCAGACCCATCGAGGGGCTGCTCCCTCAGCTTTCCTGCCAGGGCCACACAGCCACTGAGGTCAGCCACGGACAGACAGACAGGAGGTGCTGGAGAAGCATTTCCCCTCTCAGGACAGGAACAGGACCTTTCCCATCCTTACCCTTCTGTGAGCCCTGGGGGCACTGACACTCACTCCCAATTCCCCTCAGGAGGCATTTCTTCTGGCTGACTGGTATCACCACCGTGATCAGCACCTTCATGTCCTTCATCAAGCCGACCCTCAATGCCTATGCGCTCAACTGCATCGCCTTCCACCTGCTGTACCTCACCTGGAGGGAGCTCAAGAAGTAAGGAGGGGGCTCAGGGGTTCCCTGCAGCTCCTGCTGGGCAGGGACTGTGTCCTCAGCAGTGAACTGAGCCCAAATCTTCTCCAGGTGTACTGGGGAGGGAGCAGGCAGAGGCCCAGGCAGGACTGCGGGCAGTGGGGCACAAGAATGGCACCTGGCCCAGAATGGGGACAACCCATGGGACAGTGGTGGAGTCATCATTCCTGGAAATTTTCAAAAACCCTGTGGATGTGGCATTTGAGACAGGGTTTTGTGCTGACATGGTTGGTGGTGCTGGGTTAACGGTTGGACATGATGATCTTTTCCAACCTTTACAGTTCTATGAGCCCATGATTCTCCCCCTCGGCTGCCATCTCTGCAGCTCCTTCCCTTTTGTGGGGCATTTGGGAGCTAGTGTGGGGCTGGGTGTCTGGAGAGAAAGACAGGAGTGCTTTGGCATCTCCCAGCATCATCCTCACACCCAGAAGGTCAGAAATCCTCTCCCCAGAGCCACACTTCTCCAGTTCCTGTGGAATTCTGAGGAACACTCTCCAGAAGGAGCTTGCTGGGGTTTGCACTGCTGCTAGCGCAGGCAGGAGCCAGCCCTCTTTAAAACTCCCTTTCCTTCCAACACCATTACTCTGCTCCCTGTCCCTCGCTGTGTCTTCCAGGTGCAATGACAAACGGGTTCACCGGATGGCCGCGGTCATGGTCATGTGGTGGGCACTGGCCATCACCAGCTGGATCAGTGACCGGTGGCTCTGCTGGCTCTGGCAGGCCATCAACTTCCCCTACTTCCACAGCTTCTGGTAAGGGCTCCAGGAACCCCAGTCCAAACATTTCCTGGGCTGAAAGGTCCACAGCAGAGAAACAGTGGCCAAGGTGAAACAGCTGCATTATTTCCCCGCCCTCTCCCCCTTCCTGTCACTTGTCTCCTCACTCAGCCCCAGCATTCAGCCCTAACCACTGTTTCATGTCCCTCTCCTCCACACCAGCCAAGCACTGTTTTGCAAGTAAAATAGTTCCAGAAGCCCTTTCGGGTGGGCAGCTGGCTCTCAAAGGGCTCTGGCTGCTCCTGGGGTGCCATGTGAAGTGCAACACCCCTGTTGTTATTTTAGCAGCCAAACTGAAAGGCAGGGCTTTGTCTGGAGCTGACACTTCAGTGTCTGCCCAGGTAGGGCTGCAAGTGCTGCACACTCAGATCTATCCAGCCTGGGACAGGCAATGCAGCCAGGAAATGGGGAATAGTTGGAATGAGTCCCCTGTGTCACCCCAGCCCCTCTGCACCAGGAATTGTCCCTGGCCCAGCTCACAGAGCTCTGCCAGGATTTCCCTGTAGGCACAAACCGTGCAGGACCCAAACTCCCTGCAGCTCTCGTGGGACCTTTGGGGGCTGCAGCCTCTGGGTGACTGTGCCAGCAGGCAAAGATCCCTCTGTCCAACACACAATTTTGGTTTCTTTGGCAGGCACGTGCTGATAGCCCTGTCCCTGCTGTACTGCTGCCCACTGGTCATCTACTTCGACGTCAGCTACGAGATGCCCTCGTTCAAGCCAAAGCTGGAATATTGGCCCAGCGACTCATGGCCTGTTGTGGTGCCCTACGTCACCCTGGAGGAACCCCACAAGCAGTGCTAGAGCTGGGTGCCCTCAGGCCTCCCTGGGGCATGGGGTGTGTGATGCTCACGTGGGGAACATCTCAGTTGTGTTCCTCCTGTTCCTCAGGAAGGGGCAGAGTGGTAGCAGAGGGGGCAGGGAGCAGCTGAGGCCTCATGATGCTGGGCATGAAGCAAGGTGGGAGCCCACAGGTGCCTCAGAAGGCTCTGCCCAGGCTGGTGTTCAGGGAGCTGGAGATTTCCTCCTGCAGATCCCCACGAGGAGGGGAGGGACACGGTGCTGCTTCTGTGTCCTCTGTGTTAGTCAAGCACCAGCACCCCTTGCTGACAAGGGGACTGCGGAGAACACTGAAGCCAAACTGGTGACAGCTGGGTTTGTTGGGGCTGCTCTAATTATTATTATTAACTCTATTTATTGATTTATGTGGTCTTACTCAGGAGAGCTGTGCATTAAAGCTGTGGACACTGACTTATACTGAAGCCTGTCTTTTTTTCTCTAACTGCACCACATCCTCTCATCTGCCAGTCACTGCCATAGACAGGGTGGACAAAGCTCTCTGACCCAGGGAGAAGCTGTTTATAAAGAGAAATCCTGTGTGACAGCCCAAAAGAGGCTCTGCTGGCCCAGGTCCTGAGGTGCCCTACCCCAGGCTCTTCCCCTTCCTCAAACCCCAGTGGTCTTTGTTCCTCCCCAGCTCTGAATCTCCAAAGGCCACACAGGTAGCTTTCTGGAAGGGTTGTCTGAGGGCAGGATGAGGCAAGGAGCCAGGATGCTCAAAGCTGGCTGAATGAGGGGATTGTCCCGCTCTGCTCTGCACTGGGGCAGCCTCACCCCCAGTGCTGGGGGCACTTGGGGCACCACAAGATCAGGAGGATCCAAAGCTGTTGGAGAGTGTCCAGAGGAGGGACACGGAGCTGGGGAAGGCTCTGAGGAGCAGCTGAGGGCACTTGGCTCGTTCAGCTGGAGCAGAGGAGACTGAGGGGAGGCTCCTCGGGGGCTGCAGCTCCTCCTGAGGGGAGGCGGAGGGGCAGGGGCTGAGCTCTGCTCTGGGACAGGGACAGGAGCCCAGGAAGGGCTGGAGCTGTGCCAGGGCTTGGGATGGATCTCAGGGCAAGGTTCTTCCCCCGAGGCTGCTGGCACTGCCCAGGCTCCCCAGGGAATGGGCCCGGCCCCAAGGCTGCCAGAGCTCCAGGAGCGTTTGGCCAGCGCTCTCAGGGATGCTCAGGGTGGGCTTGTTGGGGGGTCTGGCCAGGGCCAGGGGCTGCACTGATCATCCCTGAGGGATCCAGCTCAAGTTATTCTGGGATTTTGTGATTCTATGACATTAGATAAGAATGTCATTACCTTTGTGTGGCTGCCTTGCAGGGAGCCAGCCTGAGCCACCTGCCAGCCTTGGTGCTCACCGGNGTGGGTGGGACTGGTGCTGCAGAGGCTGTGAACCAGGAGAGAGGATTTGTTATCAGGAGTTTGTTATCAGCACTTCTCCATAGGCAGGGTCAGAGCATCGCCCTTGAAGGACCCTGTGGGTCTGATCACATCCCCTCCACCCCCAAAGGAAAATTTCCACAGCTTTAGCTGAAAAAGGTGTGGAAATGTGTCTGGATGTGGCTGCTATTCCCAAATTTTCTCAGGGAAAGTGCCAGCACTGGAGCATGCCATGGGGCCAGGGGCAGAGACTGGTGGAGCTGTGCCCCAGGCCAGGCTCTGAAGTGACATTTGTGACACATGGACCCAAAGTGCCCCCTGGTTTTGAGTGTTTAGAGAGCCATCAGGGCCCAGCCTTGCAGGACATGGATTTTCCTGCTGCCCAAAAAGCAGGTCATGCTCCAAATCCATCTTTTGGGCACCAAATCCATTTGTCACTGACTCCCCCCTGGCTCCTGCCTTTGGGCCACCTTAGGCCAGGCCTGGGCAGTGACAGCACCACGGGAGAATGGCCCAGATTCGCTGCCCCCTCCTTGCCAGGGCTGGGCACTGGAAGGGAAATTCGGGCTGGCACTGCTCCAGCTGCCAGCAGTTGGTGGCAAACCAAGGCCAGGGGTGGCACTGAGAGGTGCCAGCTCACCTGGCATGTTGGGGTTGGGGCAGGCTTCCCTCAGGTAGAAAATCAGCCCGTCTGGTTTGAGCTTTAAATACTCCACCAACTGGGGAAAGGATGGGAGGAAAAAGAGATTATTGTGAGGATTATTATTATTATTGTTATTATTATTATTATTATTATTATTATTATCATCATCATCATCATCATCATTATCATTATCATTAAATTAATATATTAATTTATTATGTTATTTAATTTAATTTATTTTAATATATTAATTTAATAATTTTATTGAATTAATATATTTGTTATTATTAATAATAATAATAATAGTAATAGTATCCTCATCATCATCATTATTATCATTATCGTTATTAATAGTAGTATTAGTATTAGTACTATCAGCATCATTATTATTTCTGTTTCTATTATTATTTCTATTATGATTCCTATTATTATTACTATTATGATTACTATTATTACTATTATTATTACTATTATTATTGTTGTTGAAGGCAACTTTCGTGGCTTAGAGCAATGATTCCTCTCAGATTCATGGCAGGCAGGGACCAGACTGTTTTCTGTCCTCTGTTTGTGCACTCAGGGATGTCTCAGGGTGTGATGACATCCCTGGGTATCTGCCAGGGCTGGGAAGAACTCGGGAAATTCAAAAGGCCCAAAGAAAGACACAATCTCCAGTCTGAGCAGGGCATGTTCAGTGCAATGCTGTTGTTGTTGTGTCAGCCAGGAGAGGTTTCAGGCCCTGATTTGTGGGATAAATCCTGTGAGGAAGCAGATCCTTTCCCAGAGGAAGTCCAGGGTTTGTTCCGTGGATCCCAGGCAGTTTTTGATGGCAGCACCATGGATCCAGCACAGAGGGGACATCCCTGGGGACACCAGCCCAGCCCTGGGACCAGAGCCAGGGACACCAGGCTTTCCCTCCCCCTCCTGGCTCACTCACATTTCAGCTGCAATCAGGAGCCTGGCACAGCTCTGTCACCATAAAAATGCCCCAAAATCTTTGTTTTCAATAAAATTCCAAGTGAAATCAGCCCTGAGAATTCAGAAAATTCAGCAAAATGGGCTTGCTGTCCCTCAGACAGCCCTAGCCAGGAGGGAGCTCCAGCATCCACCCCCTGGATAATTTTAGTTAATGGTTTAACTCTTAAATGGCTTGTTTTAATTAATTAATCCCAACCAATAAATGTATTAATTATAAATAGTGTGTTATTTTTCAATTATTCTCAGCCAGCACGGAACATTATTATGAGCCACTTTTGCAGGAGCAGAGCTTGGGAAAATTACTGGAATTTGAAGTTTTGATAAACTTATTCTGATATACTCCAATGAACAAAGCCTGGGAGAGGAGGGTGGATTGAGGCTGGACATCTGGAATGCAGAATTCATGGACCACAAGGAGACTTTGGAGAAACCAGAAAAAAAAGGAGACTAAAAAAGATTCAGTTTAGGCATTGGAGAGTCTCTGCTGGAGGAAAAAAAAACCACTAAAAAGATTAAAAATATGGTCTAATTAGCAGAAAAAGAGAGAAATTAATAACCAATAAAGGATAGTATACTAATTAATGAAAGAGAATTAGCACGAAATAATTGAATATTCTGAGTTGGAAGGGACCCCTCAGGATCAGTGGTGATGATTATTAATTATTAATTATTAATTATTAAGTGATGGGGATCAAACCCACAACCGTGCTGTTATGTAGTCATTTAGAACCAATGAACATTAATTTCTTTTTCTGTGTAAATAAGGATAAATATATAAATATAAATATAAAGTGACAAAGTTTTGGATCAGGGTCTGTGTGGAGTCCAGAATCTTATCAGCCATGCACACAAACCCAAACATGATAAAATAATTCCTGACTCGCTAACACTAAAAATATTGTGTTAGAGGGGTTTATTTATCCTGATGACTTTGAGGGGTTTAGTAACGCTTCAAAGCAAGGAAAAGGTGCCTCAATTTCTGAGGACACCCAGCTTGGTACCTGCCAGAGCGTGTCAAACTTGGTGCCCTCAGGAATGGAATATTTCCCAGATTTATCGTGATCCACCCGGTAGTGATACACGGTCTTGCCATAGACCAGGGACAGGGCGTAGACATGGTTCTCCTTCTTTTCTCTCACCCTGGCAGGAAGGAAAATTATTAATAAGTTGTTAAAAGCAGCTCTTGGTTTTACTCTGAGGATTGTCAGTGTCAGTGGTGAGTGGGCTCCTGGAGAGGCATCACTGCATCCCTATATAAAATGCATAAATTGTATATATTTCTATATTTCTATTTCTTTCTTTCTTTCTTTCTTTCTTTCTTTCTTTCTTTCTTTCTTTCTTTCTTTCTTTCTTTCTTTCTTTCTATATATATTTTATATATATTTATATATGTATATATATTTTTATATATATTTCTATATATTTCTATATATATTTCTATATATAACTGTATATGTTCCAGCCCAAAATAAAATGCAAGAGGCTGTCTGGAGCCATTTTTAAATTTAAATGACAGACCTGATCCAATACCTGCTACTTCAGGCAAAAAAAATCCCTCCATTAAGGCAAAACCCCTTCCAGAGGCCAAAACTCCACTCCAAAGATTAAGGCAAACCTGATCAAAAGCCTAAAGCTGAGTTCATTGAATTGTCACCTTCCCACCACCCTCTGCGGGGGCTGAGGGACCCTTCACCTCCAGTTTTTCACCCCTCTCATACAACCAGAGAATCCCCAAATCACTTTGGCTCAAAAAGACCTTAAAGGTAAGCCCCGTCCAGCCTGGCCTTGGACACTGCCAGGGATCCAGGGGCAGCCCCAGCTGCTCTGGGCACCCTGTGCCAGGGCCTGCCCACCCTCCCAGCCAACAATTCCTTCCCAATATCCCATCTAACCCTACTCCTTGTTTCAAACCATTCCTCCTTGTCCTATTGCTCCAGCTCCTGATGAACTGTTCTAATTCTTTCTTTCTCTAACTCATCCAGGAGAGAATTAAATGATATTCATAATATGAATAAAATTATTATTAATAAGAATCTGCTGGCTCACCAGGGCAGAGATGCAGAGCAAAACTTTCTCCTGTGTTTTCTCACATTTCCAGCCTGTCAGTGTTTTATATCTTCCCCCACTGAACCCTCTATCCCTCATCATCCTGTGCAGCAGCAACCAAATTTTATAGAGCTATTGAAATATGAGAAACAAATAAAACTCCAGATTGGCTCTTCATGGTGGGGCAGGCACTGGGCAAGAACAGAATTGGGGCTCAGCCCATTTTTGATGAGCACATTCAGCCTCACCTCCTCTGCCATGTGAAACCAGTAACAGCAGGGCAGTGGGGATGGGAAATGGTAAAAAATCCAGGGATCCCAGCATCTTCCAGGGGTTTGGATACTCACAGGAATTTCCCATCAGGTTGTGCCCCCGAGTAGAGCCTCCGCTCCGCTTCCTCCCGGCTGATATTGCCGTGGTACCAGGACATCCTCTCGTGGGCTGTGGTGGCCACGAGCTTCTCCACCTGGGGAGCCTGGCTGATGATGGCCTGTTCCAGGGCATCCCCCTGGGAAAGAGCAGGAAAAGAGACCTCCTGCCGTCCTGCTGCTCTGCTGATGGCTTCAGCACAGCTCAGCTGGGGCACATGACACAGGAAACTTGGAATGTCTTGTAATTAATTGAGACCCAACAGTGGCTGAATTCTGTTCTTCTGCAGAGCAGAATTCCTGGTTTATCTCAACTGACCTAATCCCTTAAATGCAGCTGAAGTCCTTCAACTTTGGTGGGGAAAGAGAAAAGGCACCACATTTATGTGGAGGATCTTAATGCTGGACTTGTGTGGTGTCATTCATCCTCGTGTTCCTGGTTGGTGGCAAGTTGGATCTGAGTCACCAGTGAGTCCTGGCAGCCCAAAGGGGCACCAGGCCCAGGGAGGAATTGTCCCGCTCTGCTCTGCACTGGGGCAGCCTCACCTCCAGTGCTGGGGGCACTTGGGGCACCACAAGATCAGGAGGATCCAAAGCTGTTGGAGAGTGCCCAGAGGAGGGACACGGAGCTGGGGAAGGCTCTGAGGAGCAGCTGAGGGCACTTGGCTCGTTCAGCTGGAGCAGAGGAGACTGAGGGGAGGCTCCTTGGGGGCTGCAGCTCCTCCCGAGGGGAGGCAGAGGGGCAGGGGCTGAGCTCTGCTCTGGGACAGGGACAGGAGCCCAGGAAGGGCTGGAGCTGTGCCAGGGCTTGGGATGGATCTCAGGGCAAGGTTCTTCCCCCCGAGGCTGCTGGCACTGCCCAGGCTCCCCAGGGAATGGGCCCGGCCCCAAGGCTGCCAGAGCTCCAGGAGCGTTTGGACAGCGCTCTCAGGGATGCTCAGGGTGGGCTTGTTGGGGGGTCTGGGCAGGGCCAGGGGCTGCACTGATCATCCCTGAGGGATCCAGCTCAAGTTATTCTGGGATTTTGTGATTCTATGACATTAGATAAGAATGTCATTACCTTTGCAGGAACAAAGAGGTGTAGAGTCTCAGAGAAAGAGTGATGTACTTTCTAGGTTGTCCCCACTGTTTCTCTCGAAGTCATAGGACACTCTCCTGTTCCCTAAACCTTGCTGCTCACAGTGACAAGCTGAGCCTTGTGGTGGGTCTGGGTCCTGGTCCAGCCTGCAGGGATTGTCACCGGTGAGCACCAAGGCTGGCAGGTGGCTCAGGCTGGCTCCCTGCAAGGCAGCCACACAAAGGTAATGTCACTCCATTGACCATTTTTGGGCCCTTATGAGTAAAGCAACAGCAGGAGCACACTGGATTCTATCTCTGCGGAGAAGGTGACCGGCAGTGCCTTCTCCCACGGCCGCGGCTGCCTCGTGGCTTCCTTTGCAATAGTCCCCAGGGCCACTAGATGGCAAATTTGGCTCATGAACCCCGAGCAATATTTCATCGCGGGAGAGGGATGCCTTGCCTTGGACTGGACTCCCAGGCCTGGTCTCTCTGTTCTCTCCGTGCCCCAGCACTGGGGTCAGACACCTCTCCTCCAGCACGGCCACTCCTCAGACACCTGCACGAGGTGCAGGGCACCGGGAACTCGCATCTCCAGCCTGTGCATGGCCCTGTCTGCCCGAGCTGGTGCCCATTCTTTGTCTCCCCTGCGTGCCACCGCTCCCACCTCTCCCCTCATCACCCCGTCTCCCTTTCGCTGACCCTCTCTGCCTCTCTCCCCCCTCCTCACCCTTTCCCCCGGCCCATCACATTCTTCCCCAGCCTATTAATAACTTCTGGGCAATTGCACCGGGTCCCCGCTGGGCCCGGCCCCGCCGCCGCCGCTGCCCCGCGCAGCCACTGAACGCGCCGGCAGCAAGTTCAAAAGTGCAGCGGGGCTTTCACAGCCCCGAGCCCCGTCAGGGGGTGGAGGAGGCCGCTTCCAAAGAAAAGGCGGCGTTGCCAGGGAGCCCCTGGCACAGGAAAAGGGGGTCACCTTCACCTCCGGCAGGACCCGCCGAGATGGACAGGCGCCAGCAGCCCCGCGGGCTGGAGATGCTGGGAGAGGCCGGGGGGATGAAGGGCTGGGCTGGGGGCGAGCGGGGCTAATTGGCCACCTCCGGCCAGCGAGCCCCGGTGGGATGCTCGGCCCAGTGGCCAAATCCCCCCGTGCAGTATGGAAATAAGGGAGGTGTCCCCGGCGCTGCTGCCGGGAGAACAATGTTGCTGCAGTTGAGTGACTGTAACAGGCCCCGATGACAGCCGGGGCCGCGTTAAAAATGCCTATTCAAGCAGATCAAGACATTGAGAGGCCTCGTGGGGATCTGAAACCCTCGGGGATTTCTGGATGAGGCCAGAAGCTGAATCCCCAGCCCTGGGAACCTGGGGAAAAGAAGAAAAAAAAAAGGAGAGAAAAGAAAAGAAACCCACAAAGCAGCTTTAAAAGGGCGGCAGTGCCCGAGGCTGGGCCTCCTGCATCGAGCAGGGCTGCAGCCTGAGAAAGCAAAGCAGCCCCAAAAGCAGCCTGTGACGGTGCTCTGGGCATCCCCAGGGCTGAACAGGGCTATGTGAGGCTGGGTTTGCACCTCCAAAATGTCCTTGAGCTGCTGCGGATGCTCTGTCCTTCCTGCCGGGGAGCCATGGCTGCAGTCTGTGCGGCAGAGCCGACAAACACCCCTAAAAACTGTCAGGGGGACGAGGGGATGGCCAGAACAGTGAACGGGAAACTCCTCGAGGGGTGAGAGGCTGCAGTGGCCCCTTCTCCACACCCTGGGGAGTTGTGAGGGTTCCCTGTGCCCCGGCCCTGTGGGTGTGAGGGGTGTGACACCAGCTCAGCACAGGACAGTGGGCAGGGCAGGAGGAAACGCAAAATCCCCGTGCTCAGGGCTGGGACCGGCCACAAAGAAACCTCTCCTTAATTTTGCCACATCATTTCCCTGCTTTGGTTCTCCAAGTGGCCGCATAAACCACAGAAAGGAGAGGCATGAGAAGGAGCAGGAATAAAGAAGAGGATGGAGGCTGCTCCTGTCAGCTGATGCCAGATTAAAGAGGTTGGGAAACAACAGCATCAGTTGAGTCTCTTTGGTGCAATTGCAAAACAAATGAAAGAAAAACGTTGATAAGGCACCAGTCCTGCAGCATCAAGGATTAACATCTACCTGTTCTGCTGCACCAGTTGCCTCCTGCTGTTTCAGATTCCCAGGATTTGGCTGGCACACTGGAAACTTTTCAAGGCAGGGTGATTTATCTGTAAAAGATATTGCACATTCACAGACCCGCATAAATAATGCAAAAGTAATTAATAATAACTCAGTCCCCGCTCTTAACAATGCCAGGAAAAGAAATTGCTTCACTGGAGTGTCGCTTACGCCTTTTGGAAAAGATCTTTATTTGTTAAGTGTCTTGGAGAGAAAGGACAGGGTAGTTTTGAAACAGGGAATGGATGTCACACTGTCCTGGGATTGTAGTGCCACCCTGGCAATCTTCAGGATTGATTTAAAGAACCTTCTGCTGGAGTCATATGAAACCAACATTGATTCAGCTTTGATTTTATGTTTAGTTTTAATCTCCCATGTCCGCAGTCAAAAGTTTGAAACCAGGAACACAAAGGGCTGAGAAACCCAGGAAGGAAAGAGATAAGCTCCAGGAATTATTACTTTAAAAATCTTGTCCTTTCAACTCTCAGTGGAACTTTTGAGGTTGGACACAGGATTTCCAAGTTGGGGTCTGGCAGTCCTGTCCCACCCACTTCACAACTGCTAAGAAAAATACTCTGTTTTTTCTTTTCCTCACTGTTTACCCTACATCCTTGCTGCCCACTTTTCTTAGAAGACAAAACTAACCATAAATTCCAGGATTTCATAGATATTGGTGGCTGCTCTGGACAGGTGGAAGCTATCAGGTCCTGACTAGCTGACAGGGAATATTGTCACTGTATGCAGGGAATTTTCTGTCACTGTTTTTGCAGGGTGTTGAGGTCCCTGCCTGTGTCCTTCTGTCTGAGCTGCACCCACAGCCAGGCCTGGGTTTGGCCAGGGATGTGGGGAAGGAGAAGCACAGCCATTACCTGGGCAAATAAACCAGCTGACCAAAAAATGAGGTTTTAATCAAAAGATCAAATAATCTCTTCAGCTGTTTCTGTAAACCCCCGTGGTTTGGTTCCACTTGGGAAGACATTCTCACTGCTGCTGGCAGAAGAAAAACAAGCAGCTCCCTTCTGTCTGGCAAAGTGGTTTGAATAACTTCAACTCTGCACTAATGGCTGCTATCAAAATACCTAAAATGGAAGGATTAATTTTTCTGTGCCTTCCCATTAGAGCTCAAAACGTGGTTTCAATTAGGATCGGTCTCCACTTCTTTTTTTTCTTTTTTTTTTGTTCACTTTCTATGAACATTCAGTCGCTTCTGTCCCTATTCATGAGCTCAGTTCTTCTTTGACACAAATATTTAACAAAAGGCAAAGATTTACCTGAAATGCTGAAATATCCGTCATTAAATTGTGCATGGGGTTATAAATCTCACAATCTGCTGTAGATGCTGCATTTATTTAGATAGGCCTTCAACAAGAGACCAGCTGTCTCAGCTCCCTGAAATGTTTAAGCATATGTTTAATTTTTAGAATATGAATAATTCCATTGATATCGATGGCACTTACTTACACTTAAGAATATATTTTGCTGAGCTGGAGCAAGGAATAGTGCCATGTAATGCCAATAAAGTGCAAATTGCAGTATCTCACTAAGTGCTTCCTGGGACCAATTTAAAAATTAATCAATGAAGATCTGTCGTGTGAAAATGCAGGAATTAATATATGTGAGATTTTGCTGTTTGCTATCCTAATATTGCCAAGTATTAACATCCACCAGAGCACTGACAAGTGAAATCAACCCCAAATCTGTGAAACAGAGCAAAAATGGCAACAAGTTGCATGTGTTGTTCATCATGAATCATCTTATCAGGCTTCACAATTTACCCATGTAACATTAAATAACATTTACCATCCTTACAGGCAGACACAGATATAGATTAATTCCAATTAAGATTTGGAATGGGATGATCTTTAAGGTCCCTTCCAAGCCAAATGCTCTCAGGGGTGCACAGGGTGGGATTTTTGGGGTGCGTGTGCAGGACCAGGAGTTGGACTCATGGTCCTTGTGGGTCTCTTCCAATTTGGGACATTCTGTGACTCTTAGTGATTAAAATATCATAGAGCAAAGGGTCCAAAATAACATTATTTTCCTCTTTATGCCTCTTAGCCTCCACAAAACTTTTTTTACAAGGATCAAATAAAAATTTCCAGGCACAAACACTTCAGCCATTTATATTTGCCCTCACAATTTTCCTCCTCACAAGTTCAACACCCCTGACATCGCCTGTGACCTACAGAGACCTGGGCCATGCCCCTGCTCCCCTGGGACGGTGTCACCAAATAAATAACTCTATATCCATATGCAAATGATTGCTGTTTTCAAGCTGTTCCCCAGTGACCTCACACACTGCCCAGACGGTGCAGGAATATGTTTCCCACATATGTCAGATGTTTGGTGACACATTTCACACGTATTTAAAATAGATCTCCTGGCCAATAAAAATGCCCAGGCACCCAAACCAAGCACCTGCGGAGTTTGCAGAGCACACTTCCAAAACTGAGTAAAATGTGTCCAAATTGATTGTATCCTTCACCCAGCTCAAATATTGATGGTTTATAACTTTATGAGTGCAGTGGCTTCACTCATGGGAGGGTATTACCTGGCTGATTTGATGGCTGAGTAACAAAGGGAAGGAATTTGTTACAGCTCTGCCTCCACAGTGACAGCTCTGAATGCTCCCTGTGTTAGTCGAAACAGTGTTTGTCACATGTGTTTGTCACTTTATATCCCAGCCTGACTCCCTTGAAACTGCACTGGCTGTGCTTTTATGCAACAAAATCCAGCTCCGGCGTGTTTGAGATGTGCCACGCTGCTAAAAAACGGCTTTGCTGCAATCAGGGGCGCTCCTGTCTCACAGGTAACGATGGCACTGATAAAGCTGAAGTTTCAGTGGGCTGAATTTCAGCATGGCAGGGCCAGCCAAATGCCCTGAGTCACTGCACCTTGGCATTGCCCTCGCTGCAGCGTGGGGCACTATCTGAGCTGGGATGTACCTGAGCCAGGTAGAGCAGAGCTCATTTGAATATATTTGCATATCTGGCAAATCTCCCTGCAGTTGCTGTGCAGACAGGGGAAAGCTCTTTTTTAAAAACACTTTAATGGAATCTGCCATGGGAGCAGCTGACTCAGAATCCACCAAAAAAGGCCAGAAATTCTTAATAATTTCATACAATCAGAATTAATCACTATGGTTCAGATCATTGAGTCCAACCACCACTTAAACCATGTCCCTAGGGAACACATCCAAAAGTTTTTTGAACACTTCCAGCAGTGGTGATTCCACCACTGCCTTGGGCACCCCATTCCAATGCTTTGCAACCCTTCCTGTGAGGAAATTTTCTCAATATCCAACCTAAACCTCCCCTGGACCAACTTGAGGCTGTTTTTTGACCTGTCCCTTTTTCCCTGGGAGCAGAGCCCAACCCCTACATGTGTGCACCCTCCTGTCAGGGAGTTGTGGAGAACCAGAAGTCCTCCCTGAGCCTCCTTTTCTCCAGGCTGAGGCTTGGAACACTACAGGCTCTGAGAAACACCTCCAGGAGCTCTGGTT